AAAAAAAAAAAAAATTCCAGGTATGGTGACTCATGCCTATAGTCCCAAGCTGTTTGTATCTTCCAACTCTGAGTCCCTGTTCTCTCCCCATTGAACTTGGTTTTTCTTTTCTTTTCTTTTTTTTTTTTGAGAAAGAGCCTCAAGCTGTCGCCCTTGGTAGAGTGCCGTGGCATCACAGCTCACAACAACCTCAAACTCCTGGGTGGGCTCAAGCAATACTCCTGTCTCCACCTCCCAAGTAGCTGAGACCACAGGCGCCTGCCACAACGCCCGACTATTTTTTTGGTTGCAGCTGTCATTGTTGTTTGGTGGGCCTGGGCTGGATTTGAACCCACCACCTTAGGTGTATATGGCTGGTCCCTTAGCCTCTTGAGCCACAGGTGCTGAGCCTGAACTTGGTTTTTCAAAAGAAAGTTAGGATAGTTTATCTCAGCTGGAGAATGGGGACAACCCCCCTAGAGTTGTTGGCTCCAACCATTCTGAGCTTTCTGTGTCCCGGAACCAGTCTGTCGACAGGCTGCATTCCCACTGCTCTCTGAGGGGCAGTAGCATTCTTCCTCCTGCCAAGTGTGGCAGGTGTGTGTTTTGGCAAAACTTGGTTGTATGTGGACCCTGGGATGCAAGGTAGACTGGAAAATAGCATTTGTAGCTATTCAGTCATTGCCACCCAGGAAGGCTATATGATTAAAATGGGTGCTAGTGAATTCAGATCTCCCCCATGGTCTCTCATCTGTGCTCAGCATTAAGTTGAAACTAGTAGATTAACAATTACAGGCCCACATGAGAGAAAAACAATTAAATTCAAGAAGGAGGAGAAAGGGGTTGGTAAGCTCCCACCTAGGGGTACAATGTAGGGATGCAGGGCACCCTTATTGGGTGAAGGATTCAACTACAACTCAGACTTTACCTGACTAATCATAGGTACTCCCATATTAGCCTGAACAAACTCCCTTCAAAATCCAAACGACATCAGAAACAATCTCCTGAGACAACACGACCATCCCTCAGCCAAATGGAAATGCACGCCCACCCTCCTCCCAAATGGGAAAATCCACCCCTCTCTGAATTATTCGCAATTGTCCCTTCTATATAGTTCAGCTACTACTTTGTCATATCTTGTAATCTCCATGTATCGGTTGGGTTTTAATTTTAAAAATTTATAAAGGAAAGGCATTAATGAATTCAAAGATATGGTGTCCCCCAGCTCTCTCTGCTTTCTTTCAGTGTCCTGATTGAAAGTCACAGAGTTTCTTGTCCACTCTATGGCCCACCAGTTGCAGGTTTTTCCCAGGATGCTTGAACCCAAACTGGACATTCCCAGGTGCAGATAAAGATATCTAGGTTTTTGCCCAAAACACTATAAGAAAATGTCCCTGGCCATGTGCCAAATTCCTTAAACCCTCCCCCCAAATCCATGCCCTGACGCTCTCACTATGGGCATATCATGTTTCTCCAAAAATAAGACCTACCCAAAAAATAAGCCCTAGCCGGATTTCTATGCATTTGTTAAATATAAGCTCTACCCCGATAATAAGACTTAGTGATGGGTGTGGCTATGCAGCGTATCTGCTGCATTTGTTAAATATAAGCTCAATCCCGATAATAAGACCTAGTGATAGGTGTGGCTATGCAGCGTATCTGCATAGACATGCCATGCATTTCAGCATGGAGCGGTAAGGAAGACTGGAATACCTTTCTTTTTTTTTTAGAGACAGAGTCTCAGTTTGTCATCCTCGGTAGAGTGCTGCAGTGTCACAGCTCCCAGCAAACTCCACCTCCTGGACTTAGGTGATTCTCTTGTCTCAGCCTCCTGAGTAGCTGGGACTACAGGCACCCGCCACA